CGCAAACCACACCACACCACCCCACACCCAGTTCTTCTCTAGCCTGGGGTTTTGGTACCAGCAGAAGAATTGAAAATGACTAAAAACCAGCACTCTCAGCACTTTGAGCCTTCCTTGTTCCAGGGAAGAGGCCTCATCTTGCCTACCCCTCACCCCACACCCTCCTCACTCCTACCACACACAGGCAGCCGGAGAGGCAGGGTGCTGCTGCAGACACTCTAGGCCCACCTCACATGGACACGTGGGTGCATCCCTGCCTGCCTGACCCCTGCCAGAGCAGGGAGATGGGCTGGGCCCACAGAGACTTGGACACCATGGCCACCAGGCTCTGCACTGTGAAATGACCCCATCGTTCTGAAGAGCGCCAGTCCTGTGGCCAAGATGTGCGGGACCCATAGGAGGAGCTACGCTTGTGAAAGGATCCTTAACTTTAGTTTGATAAGCCATTAATTCACAAAGCTTCGCTGGACTTGCCCAGTAGAGGGTGCTGCTAGAGACTGGAAACTTTCATGGGTGCCCCATTGCCTTTGAGGAGATTCGGGTTGGGATGAGACCTGGAATCGTTTTCAAAGTGATACTTGGACCCCTGGGCCTTTGGGGAAAATCTGGGCATGAGTTTGCTTTTTTTTGCCTTCACCCATCTCTCCTGGACCCAGCAGGCCCATGTCATCCCTAGGGTCCTCTGAGGCCTCACCTATCTTTGTCAAAGGATGACGCTACCCCCACTTCTCTCTTGGGGTGATTCTGCTGCTGAGTGATGTGCCCAGCCCTCTGGAGCTGGTTACATTGTGCAATAGGATACATTGTGCTTAGAGACAGGCAGGCAGTGGAGGGGGAAGGCGGCCACACAGCTTCTCCATCCCTGTCATAGAAGATGGTACACACTTGTGCCCAGCACACCAAAGCCTTTTAAGCCAGAAAGTGGGCCCTTTGTACCCAACCCACTTAGCCAGCGTTAACGCCCCACCACAGGCCAGCCTTGATCAGAACCGTTGCTGCCTTAGAACCCTGAGTGGGCAGGAGCCCACCTGGCATAGGCAGTGTCGCCTGAGCTGGGCCCTGCTTTCTGCAGCCTTGTGAGGGTACTCCAGCAGGTGCCCTCAGAGGCGACAGGAGAAGGCCCTGGCAGAGCTCCCTTCGGTCTGTGGGGGCTTCTCCCCCTTGGCAATGACTAGCATTAGAGCTCATACCCCTCCCCATTACCAGAAAGCTGCTAATGCTTCAGGTGAGCTGACTTACTCCCCTCGCCTCCAGTGGAAACTGGTGTGAACCTCAGTAGTGTGTACACTATTTTAAAAGATGTTATTTTATGCAATAAACCGTTTCTCATGAGTAGGGCCCGACCCTGAGAAGTGCATTGCAATGTGTTGCAGGAACTGCTGCCATGCAGTTTATGAATGATTTTGCAGTAAAGACCTGATCTTTGTAATCATCGGTTTTGCCTTTGAATCCTGACACCGTTGCTGACAGGGGGAAGACCACGGGCCATCTGCCACCAGTTACTGTCTGTGATAGAGCTAGGGATAACCCTGGGTGGGTAGTCAGTCCCTGGGCACAGTAGGGGGCTTAGGTGGGGCTCTGACCACCTGTGCCAGAAGTGAGCTCATAGGAGAGGGTAAAGGGTTTGGGGAGTGTTCTGGTTACCCAGTGCCACTCTGACAAGAATATACCACAAATGGGATAGGCTTAACAAACAGGAATTTATTCTCTTGCAGTTCGGGAGGCTAGAAATCCCAATTCCAAGTGCCAGGCTCTAGGGACTGTGTGAAAGCCTCTCGACCTTGGGTTTCAGCTCTGCCTCTTGTTCCCGGCCCACTGAAGCTAGAGGCATCTCTTTACTCAGGCAGCTACTGGCTGCTGAGGCTAACAAGCCTACTGTTACCAAACCACACGGCAGGCCATTAATTTAAGTCCGTTGAAAGTCCCATGGTCGGCGCAGCATGGCAGGTTGTTTGACACGGCTACATGCAGGGTCTAAGCGTGCCATAAGCTAGAGACCATTCCCAAAGCTGCTGATAATATACGGGAAGCAGACCACATAGCCAAAGCAGCTACTCAGCTGCTCACAGAAGATTCCACCATGGAGTTGATTGCCAGTCTCATCATGGGGAATGCTACATCCAGCTGCCCAGCCACTCAACCAGGCCCAGCCAAGTTGACACACAAACTGAACCAACACAGGGAGGTTTACTCACACACACTTATACATAGCTGAAGTTGATGCCTGAAATCCCACACAAAAATGGCGTTTTTCCTGGACTTTAAATGTCACACCACAGACTCCACACACAAGGACATGTAAAACTTACAGACTAGATTTCTCTTTGGTTTATCAGGAAGGTAGAGGTAGGGAGAGAGTTCAGAAAAGATGCTGCTTGAGCAGGGCCCCTAGGCTCATGGCTTTAGGGTTCCAAATGGCCTTTACTTGGCTCCTGACCGTCCTCTGAAGCTACAGAGGCCCTGCAGGGGGAAGGCCACCACTGCTACCATTCTCACAGTAAAGGGAAATGAAACTAACTCCCAGGGAAATCAGGTTGCAGGGAAATGGAACTGACAGAATGTTCAGGGCCTGGTCAGTTTCCAGTCCTTGAAGAGTCCTGCCCAGGATGGAGCACCCTCTGTCCATCCCATGAGCCCGGGTTTGCCTCCTTCCAGAGGCAGTAGGTGGTGGGTCTGGAGAAGAGGAGATGGGTGTGAAGACTGAGGGGAGGCAGGCCCAGTGGGTGACCTGGGGCACGTGGCCTGGTTGCTGCCCTGCCTTTGGACTCAGCCCTTCTGTCTTTCAAAAAGTTTCTCTGAGGTTACCTGTTTCCTCCTCCTCTCTCTTGCCAAAAGAATGGGAGACCCCAGTCTAAACCCAAAAAGGGCAGAGGTTCATCTTATAATAAAAGTAGTGATAACAAGAACTAATACATTGAATTTCCACAACTCATTTTCCCAGCAGTTCTATAAAGTAGGTGTTAATACCTCCAGTTGGCAGGAAAGAGAACTGAGATGCAGAGAGAAGGCAAGTTTCCCAAGGTCCCAAGGCCAGCAAGTGGCCGAGCCGGCCATGAGACCTGTTTTGACCCCAGGCAGGGACCTTAACCACTGCCAGCATCTCCCACCCTGCCTCTGCCTTGCCTGCTGGGGCAAGTGGGGAGGAACCTCAAGGTGATTCATCCACTGGTTAGCAGCCACTGTTTGCTAACCATGCAAGGCACCAGGGGTATGAATGCTGAATTCTGCCAAGTGCCTGCCCTGGAGGAGCCCAGGATGCCACAAGGCCTCAACACACTGAGATAGTTGGCACAAAATGGAGTCACTCATGGGCAAAGCCTCGCAGGGGAAAAGCTATGTGGTGGAGGAGTTCAGGGAGGAGGGTGACCAGATTCAGGTTCTGTCCAAACCCTCCGCCCTCAGGAGGTGGTGTCAGGAGGGGCAAGACCTGAGGCCCCTGTTCCCTGAGGACTCCCAGAGTAAGGGGCCACTGTGGCAGGGGCTTGTCAATGTCTGGAAGGAGTGTGTGCTGCAGTCAGTGGGCAGGAGGCTGCCTTCCCCAGACAAGGATTCCTTAAGATAAGCCCCTTACAGTGGAGGGCTGGACTAAGGATCCTGACCTCCAAAGGTTGCTCTGGGTTCACATTCTGGACAGATGAGAAGGTGGCCTCCTCCCCCACAGGGATCAAAGATGGGGGTGGGGGTGGCACGGAAGGAGCGAATCGGGTCAGAAAAGTTAGTGGGGAGGCTACTGCCCCCCTCATCCCCACACCCTAGCTCTGCTGCCTCCTCCTCCCGGAGCCATCCAGGTGTGGCCTAGGATGGATCCCGGGAGGTGCAGGGGAAGGGGTGGCGTCTCCGCTCCTGGGGCGCTGGCCCGGCCCAGAGGGGACAGGAAGCCGGGACACCGGGGATTGTCTCTCGCAGCCGCAGACCAGCCCTGGAGGAAGTTCTGCCGGGCGCTCTCCGTCGTAGCCTCCCTAGCTATATTGTTCAACAGGAAACCGGGCAGCGCAGGAGCCGGGCGGACGAGGAAGGAGCCCACGTCCGCCCGCCCGGGCAAGAGGAGGCGAGGCCGGAGACGGGCGCGCGGCTGCCGCGAGGTGCAGGGCCGGGCGGGGGGCGCTGGGCCGCGCGGAGGGGCCGTGGGGGACGCAGGTGGACGCCGCCCTCCCCTGTCCCCTGCGCACCGCGCCGGAACTCCGAGGGCCGGGAAGGGGAGCCGTGGGGCAGACCCGCGGGGGAGCGGGTGGACGAAGCTGCCCTTGGGCCCCTCCAGGTGGGGGCAGGTCCCCGCGCCGACCCGGACGTTGGCGCCTCTTTGACTCGCGTCGCCCGGGCAGTGGACTCAGGGCACCTTGTGGCTACGCGTCCGTCCTTGAACTCTGTAAGCCTTCCGGCTCCCGCATCCCTCCCCTTCTCTTCGTCCTCCGAGTCGGGAAGGAAGCTGAGGTTCGGGTCTTCTCCCCGCCCACCACGGATACTGGGCTCCGTGGTCTGTGGGCGTCCCGGCCTCGGGAGCCCCGCTCCGAGTTGTTCCAGGCCCCGTTGCGCGGGGAAAGGGCCTGGGAAGGGAGGAGGCGGACCGGAGCGATGGTGCCGCAGGAGGCTGGAGACTGCTCAGAGCTGGAGATTCAGACCGCGAGCAGTCTCGCTGGGCTCGGGGTCGAGCGAGGCGTGAAGCCCCAGCGCGGCCCGCCCAGGGCACTGGGGCTCCAGAGCAGCAAATCCCGAGTGGGGGGCGGGACCCGTCTCCCCCCACCCCGATTCTCGCCCCGCCCTCACGTCTCCTACCGCTCCGTGCCCTTCCCCCAGGGTCCCAGGGTCCCCAGGGCCCAGGCTGCGGCCTTCAGCCCCTCTTCGCCCATCCCATACAGCTGCTTTGGAAATTGGGGACAGCAGGGTCCCTCCGGAACGTCTCTGTCGGCCTTTGCTCCCCTCCCCAGCTCCTGGTCCCGGAGACCTTGCAGCCTGGCCCTTGGAAGCCCCGCCCAGGGAGATGGAGACCTAACCTGTAACCCGCCAGCTCCACCTACCCAGCTAATGGGCGTCCGGAGACCCGCCGGCTCAAGTGAGTGCGCAGTCAGTGGTCCCGGGAAGGTGGCGTGAGGGGCCTTGTCTTCTCCCCTGGGACTTGTTGGTTTAGCCCTGGGGCCCAAACTGATCCCACCTCCGGAGCCCAGGGTGCTCAGAGTGACAGTTTACAATCCCTCCTCTCACGGAGGAAAGCTTGAGAAAGAGTACAGGTGGAGCGCTCTGCGCCCCGACCCTGTTCTTCGGCTCCCTCAGATTCAGCAGGCGGCCAGGCTTCCGGCTGCTGGTCCTGGGTCATCTGTGGGGTCCGAAGAAGGTGTGGTCAGTGTAAGAGCTTGCAGAGACTTCTGGAGGAGGACAGCAACTCATTGCTTTGATGAGAACATTCAGAGTTATAGTGAGGCTCTTCCCCCTCCCCACTTACACGCTAGGAGCCGGGCTGAGGCAGCCTGGGAGTGGGGGAGCCTTGTGATCACTGCAAGAGAACTTTGGGGGCTCTGGGGTCACCGCATGGATATTCACTGTCACAAAACCCATTTTCTAGGGGTCACTCTCATGGGGCAGTGTAGGTATCACTGGGCAGGTAGGCAGACCTCGAGGACCTAGCCTTCCTCGAGGGGAGCGGAGGTGGGAGCCAGAGAGCAGGGGCGGTGCAGGTTCACGTCTGGGGCGAAACCGCTGGGTAGGGAAGGAGAAACCGAGAGAACCGGTTTCCTCGCCTTGGCAGACGCAGCCCTACCTCCTCGACCCTGGGACTAAGTGGGGCAGGGGCATCTTGCGGGCGGAGTTGGCGCGGGAGTCGCTCCAGAACCTGCGGCCCAGGCCTTGACCCCACAGGTTGTATCTTCAGATTCCGGGAGAGAGGGGGCGCTGCGGGGCTGTCCGCCGACTCCCTGCAAACTGGAGGCGGCGGGCCGGGCGGTGTGGGAGCAGCGAGAAATGAGCTGCCCTTCCCATTTTACAGACCAGAACACTGAGGCTCAGGCAATTTTTAGGCAGCTGTGGTGTCAGTCTTCTCAACTGTGAGCCAAAGCTTTCCAGGCAGTACAGTTGGCTCGGTATTACCCCCAACCTCCCCACCATGGGGCAGAAGCAAGCTCAAATCTAAAAAGCAGTGTCACAGAACGAAGGGGAGTCCAATAGGGAGTGTCAAGAGCAGGGGCCTTAGCGATTTACTTGTTCAAGCCCCCAATTTATAAACAGGAAAACTGAGGCCCCAGAGCACAGGGCGGATGCAGGAACGGGATTCGAACCCAGGCCTCCTCCCACCCCGACCTCGGTCAGTGTCATTTCCTGCTTCGTGGCCTGGACCTCCGTGCCCTCTCCCACCCGGTCCTGCCTTTTTGCCTGCAGGGAAGCGCCGCGGCCGCTATGGCGGCGGACTTCGAGGGGGACGTGTATGTGTTGGTGGAGCATCCCTTCGAGTACACCACCAAGGACGGGCGCCGCGTGGCCATCCAGCCCAACGAGCGCTACCAGCTGCTACGCCGCAGTACAGAACACTGGTGGCACGTGCGGCGCCAGCCCGGCGACCGCCCCTTTTACCTGCCCGCGCAGTACGTGCGTGAGCTGCCTCCGCTTGGCAGCTCCTCAGCCGTCCCGCCCCCGCCAGCACCCCTACGGGGCCCCACAGCCCCAGAGCCGCTCTCCTACGACTACCAGTTCGTGAGCGCGCCCGGCCGCCCCGATGGTGCCCCCGCCGAACCCCCGAGCCGAGCAGGCTCCCTGTGCGGCCCAGCGCGGCGCGGTGCCCTGGCCCAGCGTAGCAGCCTGGCACCGGGTATGCCGGCCTGCCTGTATGTGCGGCCGGTGGCGCCCGTGCGGCCCGCGCAGTCCCTAGACGACCTGGCACGGGCCACTGCGCCCCCTGCCGGCCTCCTCGGGAGTGCTGGCCGCTTTAAGGCCTGCAGTGTGGCAGGCTCCTGGGTATGCCCGCGGCCCCTGGCACGCAGTGGCTCAGAAAACGTCTACGAGGCCATCCAGGACGTGCGCAGCCCGCGACAGGAGGAGCGCCCAGCCCAGGTACGTCACCCGGAAAGGAGTGGGGGGGGGGGCTGTTTCCGCACAGAATCTCCACAAGGAGACCCGCTTGGTCTCCAGCTCAACGCCCAGTGTCCGTGGGACCCGTTCCTCAACACAGTATACTTACTGAGCCTTAGGTTCCACCAACGTGGTACGGATTCCCAATCCCTTTTTCTGCATTTCCAAAATGCCAGAACTCTGGAAGGGCAAACGTTTTTCGTAACTCAATTGGTGGCAAAATTTGACTTGAAGTGTTGTGAGGTCATTGATACCCAAACCTATGGCATAGTTTAAGTCAATCTGACTCATAGCGACCCTATAGAACAGAGTAGAACTGCCCCATAGGATTTTCCAGGCTGTAATCTTTAACAAATGGACTGCCACATCTCTGGTGCAGGCTGGAACCACTGGCCTTAAGCAGCTGAGTGCTTAACCACTGAAGTACCAGCACTCCCTGCAGGCCACTGATAGTCTATCCCCCTGAGTATGAATACTCATTTTGTGCTGCAGAAATGCTGTTGTTAGTTGCCCTTGAATTGGCTTCAACTCACAGCGACCATTATGTTCAAGCAGAACTAAACATGGCGTGAGCTCACCCTGTTTACACTATGGTTGGTATGCTTGGGTCCATCCCTGCTGCCACTGTATTTTAGGTGCTTTTCAACCTAGGGCCTTATCTCCCAGCACTGTATTGGGCAATATTCTGTTGTAATCCAAAGAGTTTTCTTTCTTCTTCTTCTTCTTTTTTTTTTTTTTTGGTAAGAATATAATAATTTTATTTATTTATGTCTTTTTTGTAACTTTATACATTGTACATAAACTTTTAAATAATAATAGTGACAATAATTATAAAAATAAAGTAAAAGGCTGAAAGTGCAAAGAAGTTGAGTGAGAAGGCACCTGTGCGCAGGTAGTGAACCATACCACTGCAGTTTTGAGAAAGGGTTCCACATTGGCATGGTCATTCAAGATGCTGGCCTTTATTTCACCTGCCAGACTGCACTCAATGGAGGAAATAAGCTTCCTGAGCAAGTCATCCCCAGATGAAGTGTTTTATGGGCCATTTCTCCCTCTGGATTCCATGAGAAATAACCCTATCTGCTGCTCTTCTGTTTATGAGCCCAGAAAGCTACTGACTAGAAAAACCAAGCCCATTGCAATAGAGTCAACTCATGGCAACCCCATGTGTTACAGAGCAGAACTGCTCCATAGGGTTTTCTTGGCTGTAATTTTTCTGTGTGTGTAATTTGGGTGGAAGTTTACAGAGCAAATCCATTTTCCATACAGCAGTTTATATATTTTGTTGCGTAACAATTGACTACAATCCCCACAATGTAACAGCTCTCTTCCCACTTCCTCCCCATAGTTACCTCTTCCCCATGTCCTTTCCTATGCAATCCTGCTCCCTGAGCTATCTCCCTGTGCAAATATTGCCCCACTGTTCTCCCATGATTTATCGTACTAAGGAGTATATCTACTTGGTGTAAATGTTCACCCTATGTGCCTGTCTGTTGTTTGGCTAGAAGCCACAGAGTGAGTTCAATTCCAGTCCTGAAGGATGACTAGGAGCCATAGTCTCGGGGGTCTTACCAGGCTCTATCAGACCAGTAAACCTGGTCTTTTTCTTTTTTTATGATTTTGAGTTTTGTTCCACGTTGTTCTCCCACTCTATCCAGGATCTCCGGCTCTGATTCCTTTCTGCGTGTTTGACAGTTGTAGCTGGGCACCATCTAGTTCTTCTGGTCTCATGGTCATATCACCTACTTTGGTCATGTTATAAGAAGGGACCATTCCCTGGAGAAGGATATCATGCTTGGTGAAGTGGAGGGTCCATGAAAAAGGGGAAGGGCCTCAACAGGATGGATTGACACAGTGGCTGCAGCGATGGGCTCAGGTATAGCAGGGATCATGCCGCTGGCACAGGACCGGGCAGTGCTTCATTCAGTTGTACATAGGGTTGCTATGAGTCAGAAAGGACTCAACAAGACCTCACGACAACAACAACATGGTCATATAGGCTAAGGTTTGCATGGTCCTCTAGTCCCTTGGACTAATTGTCTCCATGTATCTTTAGTTTTCTTCCTTCTGTTTTGCTCTGGATGAGGAGAGACCCATTGTTGCATCTAGATGGCCACTTACAAGCTTTTAAGACCCCAGTCACTACTCACCCAAGTAGAATGTAAAAAAGTGTTTGTGTAGTGTGTTATGCCAATTAAGCTTGATGTCGTCGCAGCCATGGTTTTGAGCCCACAGGTCCAACAACTCACTCCATCAGGGTGGGTGACCGTGCCTAAGAAGTTATCATAACTTTGATAATCCATAGGGTTTTCGTTTGTTAAATTTTTGAAGTAGATCACCAGCCCTTTCTTCCTAGTCTTTCTCAGTCTGGAAGCTCCATGGAAACCTGTCCATCATGGGTGATCCTACTGGGATTTAAAATATCAGTGGCATTGCTTCCAGCATCACAGCAACATGCAAGCCACCACAGTGTGACAAAGTGAACAATGGTGGTGATGCCAAAATGCAATTGAGCCTGATTATGGAGTGCTGCCCCAAACCCGGACAGGAGCACCGCATCCATCACCTTTCTAAACTCGGAACCATTCCGTATTCCACAATGCATCTAGATAGGGAATAAGGAGCAGGACCGGCAGCTGGCTCTGCTGCCATCTTTCTCACAGAAGCCTGAGTACTCAGGTGATGAATGTGAAAGTCACGGGTTTGCTTCTCTTTTTAGTTGCTTCCAATATTTCAGTTTGTTTGTTTGTTTGTTTGTTTAATGGCTTTGTTTCAGAGGCAAGTCCAGTATGGAAGGAGATATTTTTCTCTTCAGATTCCAGTTGTGTTAGTTTGGGAAATCAAAAATAGAGCCCGTTTTAAAACACTCTTACATCCTCAAACTCATTGGAGTGGCCCTAAGTTCTTGAACTTTAGGAACTTTTCAGGGAGAGGCAGCCTGGGGGAAAAAAGGTTGCACAGACCCCATTCTGCTGTCTTCCACCAGCTGTTTAATTCTGGGCCATTCACTTCCGCTCTTGGAGTCTCAGTTTGTTCTTTAGCCCAAAGGGTGGGTGAGGGAGGGGGGATCTAGGTGGCCTCTGATGTGTGTGAATGTGTGGTTCCTTTCTTTGAACTTGGTGACATTGCAACAAGCATGTTTGCCAGCCCCATGCCAGGACTGAGTCCAGGATCTTGAGACATATGAGACATGGCCCCTGTTGGTGAGCTCCCTGGTCGTCCTACCCTGTTATAGTCCAGGGGGTCCAGGTTTTGAGGCCACTCTTCTTCAGTTGCCATCAGGGGGACTCTGACTCACAGTGACCATCTGTGTGTCAAGAGTAGATCCGTGCTCAGTAGGATTTTCAGTGGCTGGTTGTTTTGGAAGTAGATTGCCAGGCCTTTCTTCCAAGGTGCCTCAGGGTAGACTCAAACCTCCAAGCTGCCTGTTAACGTTTGCACCACCAATGGACTCCTGAGGCTACAAGGACTCAAATTTGACTTGATTGGGTTGCCTGCCAACTGCTACCAAACCATTTAAATCCTCCAGCCTCAGTGTCCTCATGTAAACACAGAACAGTATCTAAGGATTAGGGACGTTGGGACTTTAATGACATGGAAACACGTGTCACATAATAAGCAGTCCACCAAGACTGCTTGAGTCCTTTCCTCAGAAATGGCATCACTTTTGCTGCGGTTTCTCCTGGGGACAGCTCGCCCTCTTGTGGCCAGTGGGGAGAGCAGCACTTTGCAGTTGGGCACAGGGACTAGGTCAGGTCCTTGTGCTTGGTGTTCCTGCCAGCCAGCCAGCCAGCTTCTGTGGGATAGGTGGCTGGGTGCCAGCACCCCTTCCTGGGAGCGCCTCCATTTCTCGGGCAGGTCCTCAACAGCGTATTCCCAAGCCTCTCCAAATTCTCTGTCCTCATGATGTTGGGTCTGTCTGCCGCTCAGAGGGGCGCTCCTCCCTGACAGAGACTGGCCTTGTTCCCTGAACCTCTGCACGTGCTGTCTCAGGGCCTGGCCCTTAGCGTGTGCACAGGGAATGTGTGTAGACATAGAGCAAGGGCACTGGTGGCCCCTTTACCCATGGACTGGGACTCCACAGATCTGAGTGGGAGACTCCCAGGCCAGGCAGCTCCTGAGAAATCATGCCAGCTGATAGACTCTTACTTTCCTGCGGTTTCTTCTCACCACCTCCTTCCAGCTCTAGTGCTGATATTGCAGGGGTGTGTTAGGAGGGGGAGGGCAGAGGGAATGGTGTGTGTAGGGGGTGCTTGCTCAGGGAGGAACTGAGACATCTGTCAGACATCTGTCTGGGTATTGATTGGGCAGAGAGGCTGCTGCCTGGTCCCACATCTGGCCCTAATTCACTGTGTGACTTCGAGAACTGGCTCAGCCTCTCTGGTCCTGCTTCCTCATTATAACTATTATGAGTATAATAAATTATTGCCTGTGACAGTGCTTTACAAAACAGTCAGCTGGGGGTCTGACCCCACTCCCTGCCAACAAACCCCAGGGGCAGACAGTTATTTCTCCCCCAGGGAGGAAGCACCATCCCTACTCCCAGTTGCTCAATTCCTTAGGGAAGGAATTTCCTGAAAGGTGAACCTGCCTGTTTTCTCTGCAGAGGGGGCTGGAGAAGCAGGCCCTGCCTCTCCTCTCCACTCTTCCAGGTCCTTCTCTGATCCATTCAGCTTGAGTTGATTGGACATCTGCCAAGTACCAGGTGATCCTTCAGATCCCAAGATGAGAGCCACAGCCCTGGGAGGTCCACACTGCGAGGGAAGGCCAATGGGAGGGGCATATGCCTCCATCCACCAGGGCATCTGGTTGAGCTACACTCAGGTGCTGTGGAGCAGGGCCAGAGGTGGAGGTGTGAAAAGATGCAGCACATTTGGGGTCCTACAGTCCTACCCCTGCCTTCCACTGGTGCAGCTAAAGCTCAGGGCACCCATGTAGAAAGGGGCCAGGATCGGGTGGCACCCAGCCAAGCAGGGCCTTGT